AGATCTATTAAAATGGATCGTTTTTTGCAAGTGACACCATCAATGGACCACAAATGATTTGTTCTTAGAATAGCAGTGCGTACAGGAAAGAGACTGCTTGGTAGATCTGAAAGTAAATAATCTCGAAATGTAGGCTCATCTGAGATTATTGATTGCTCATAAAGCAACAAAAGAAGAGCAAAAATGAAGCATTACAATTAATATTAATGAAATTTAAAATTATTCTCCTATAAATTGTTTTTAAAAGTTTTCTATTTTTCATTAAAAGGTAATCAGTAAACCTAGATGCTTTTCTATTCCATATGATCATTTTCTAGATCATTTTGACAAACTACTTATGTATAAAAGTTTTAACCTGATAAATTCCTCCAAATTGTCTAAAATTCTGTCTTATCTAGTAGAAAGAGATTGATCTTTCAGGCACTTGTTTGAAACTGTGACATTGAAGTGTTCACTTTCATTCTTTCTCAGATGGGGTTAGTTTTTTCATGCTCATGACCTGTTAACTTTCAGGAAGCCTTTCCCAGTGGAGAGGTGGGCTGTAATATTAAGAATTTGGAGAGGAGAAAATACAAAAGGATTAATAAAATTGAACTATTTTTTTTCACTTCATAATCTTTATCACTTTATCTCATAATTTTACACATAGTGAATCAGAGGGCAGAAGTATTAAGGAAAGGGTGAAGGAAAGTATCAGTCTAAGGTACCCAAGACAATATGAGAGATTAGTACTAAGGCTTAAGATTTTCATGATTCGTAATACCTCCTGATTTTAGGTATAAACTTAATTAAATCATACATTTCATTAAATTAAGAGATGAATCTGATTATGTCCCATGATTTCAAAGGTTGTTGATAGAGGAAAATTGAAATGAAAGAGCAGTTTTTCCGATCCAAATTTCTTTGTGGATAGGCCTTTAGTCAAAAATTTCCTAATTTCACTTGTTCAGCAGTAGTGATATAAACTAATAGGTGATTCCAATTTAAAAAGGAGACTGCATCTATTTCTCAAACTAGTACTCATGTATGACTGCCTGTGTATACTAGAGGCAGCAGGGTACATGGTCACATTCCCAGAATGCAGTCATACTTTAAGATTTAAGGAAGATAATATCATTTTAAAACAAGTGCAGATGAAGAAGATTTTAAAATTCACATCAGTTGTTAAGAGAACTCACAAGACCTGAGTGATAGAGGCTGTTTTGTGGTCTCCTCCTCTACCCTATCTGCCCCAACCCTTCATCTGTCATGAGGATAATAACTGGAAAAGTTTTAGGACATCTTAAAAGACACTGAATGAATGGTTATGGCAGGAATAGAATTAAAATTAATAGGATTATTTTAATGGAAATCAGAACCAAGAATTTATAAAATGCCTAAAATTTATTTTTTTAGAGATTTATTTATTCATGCATGCAAGAACTGGTGTACAGGCCAGAGGTATGGAGGGTGAGAGGATTCACCAGAGATAGAGTGGGGAGCAGAACAGGAAGATTGACTGAAGTACACTGCTGAGGGAAGCAGTGGGCAAGTCAGGAGAGGTCTGCTGCACCATGTGGGTAGCTCCCTGGCCAGGGATCGAAACTCATGCTGCAATGGCTGTGGAGAGCTTCATAGGTTGCATCTTAACCCCTTGTGCCACCAGGGTGGTCCCAATGCCTAAAATTTATATTGTAGAAATTCACTTTTAAAAATCAGATGCCATGTAAAGTATATGCAGCTCAAAAGGAAGCCTACTTCAGGATACTAAGTTTTGAAAGATTTTTAACTATAGAGAAATATGTCTCCCATGAGGGTCCTAAAAGATGTGTCTCTTTGTACTCTGGAATTTAGAATATTGTGAATCTACAGTTTCTGATTTTCTAGTAACCTCTGTGGAAGATAGGTCTGGGTTGTTTTAGGCTGAGTATTGCACTGTGTGTTTATTGCAGCTGATGCCTTAACTGGGCCAGGTCTTGCACAGTGCACAGTGCTTACAGATGCACAGTGCCTTATGGAGAAAGCATTGTCCTTTTTTATAAATGATAAAACCAAGATCAGAGAGAATTAACTATTTGCTTAGGAGCACACACTCAGGTAGCTCTGGTGCTAACTACAGTCCCAAGTCTTTGATTCTAAAATAATGTTTTTATAGTCTGCTGCCACAATATAGTGAGCCAATTTATTATGATGGGAGAATATTTTCATAGTCCACCTCATCTAAGGGTCTGTAAAGCATGACCTAATTGTGTCTGAATTTTGGTCTTCTTTCTAAACATAATATATCCCAGAAGATTGAAAAGACTCTCAATTAGGGTTTCTAAATAATTTAGATATAACTTTGGGGAAAAAAGGAGAAAAACTATTTGTTGGGAATTCAAACCTAGTTTGGGTTTTCAAAAGGGGAAAGCTATTGATTGTTGAGGACTTCTGATGGTGATGTGATAATCTTGAGCAAGGTTTTGAAGACAAAGATGCAGCAATCACTGAGAACATGCACAGATTCACTAACAAGCCATATTTACGTCTTTAGAAGACTCACTAGAGTATTACATCCATGAAATTCAATAGACAAAGCTACTGACCTTGAATGTCATTCCTTGCAAGGTCATCTCTCATTATCTTACAGAGCAAGATAAATAGAATTTAGTGCCAGAATACACTGCTAGATCAATAACTGTTTGAACAACTGTACCCAATAGGTGATTGATGTCCTCCTAAAGATAGATTTCTGGTGGCATTTGACATGCTTCAGTCCTCCTTACAATAATTATTTTGAGATATCTATGTCAAAGTCCTGATTATCCAAAAATTTTATAGGCAGAAAAGAAAATGAGAATCTAATGAAAGTATAGCTAGAATACAAATGTAGTATCACTTTAACAGAGTTTAATAGGCAGAAATTTGGAGGATTGTTCTCAGGTTTAGAACTGTAAAAGACAAGTACAAGTTGAAAGTAATAATATTTGAGGGTTTAAATTCATTAGCATTTTTAGTTATTAGACAATGTTATCTGTATACATAGGAAATACAGCTGTGTAAATCAACATAAGAGAGTGGACTCCCTTCCTTTTGCCTTATCAGTAACTTTCTGGAATATTAAAGCTTTTACCCTTGTTCATACAATACTCAAGAGATATGCCTCACAGATAAATTGTACCTAAATAGATTACTTGTAATCAATTATATTTGTTATGTGTTACAAGTAACGAAATACGATTAAACAAACTCACCAAAGAGTCATCTTATGATGTTTTTGCCTAATGTTGATCCAGTAATACCCTCTCCTAAGTAGTTTTAATAATAATCGTTAAGCAGGAAATTTTTTGTAAAAAATTTAATCTTAATTAGCTTTAATTACTAGATCCTTCTATCTTTTTAAAGAGGGTTTATAAGCATTAAGTGACAATATATCTCCTTTTCTTTTTTCTGGAATTGTTTATTCCCATGAGTAGAGAAAATGTATACTTCATGAGCTGAGGATCTTGTAAGTCTTCATAACCATGTCTTAAACCTGGGGTAGTACCTGCACAAAATGGTTCCTTAAAAGTGTTTGCTAGGGCCTCCCCTAGTGGCACAGGGGGTTGAGCGCTGGGCTGCAAAGATGCTCACAGCCTCTGCAGTGCCCGTTCGATCCCCTACGAGGATCCCACATGGTGCGCAGACCTCTCGTGCCACGCCCACTGCTCCCCTCAGCAGTGTACTTTGTCAGTCTGCCTGTTCTGTTCACCGCTCTGGCTCTGGTGAATTCTCTCACCCTCCTGCACTTCTGACTGTACCCAGTGCTTGTATAATTAAATAAATCTTTAAAAAAAAAAGTGTTTGTTAAAGAAAACAGTATTTCAGATGGTTTTGGCTAAGCTCATTTGCCAGGTACTGACTCTATATATTATAATTTCCTGTTGGCCCCATGATTAGCATAGGGTTTGATGTTATGATGAGACCGTAGTGAAAAGTTTTATGTTAGACAATAGTAAGCAAATACTGATTAAACCCAGCAAACATGAAAAGAATGTACTTAAAGCTTGCAGCATCCCTTACGTCTATTACAGATTAACTGTGCTAAATTTTCTAGTAACAGAATGCAGGACAGATTCATTTAGTAGTCATATTCGAAAATCATAAAGGTATCGACAATAATTACTAATTATGTGCCAAAATTATATTACCATTAATAAAGAGACTTGCTATATTAACATGTGAGGTGATATAGCAGAACCTTGAAGTAGAATAAGAGTATTGAAGTTCAAATCCTCGTTCAACTGTTTGTTAGTTGTCTAACATTAAAAACTTAGAGTAACCACTATAAATCTCAAGTTTTTCCATGTGTAAAATTAATATAAGTACACTGATTATTTTACAGGTTTGGTGTGAGGGTTAGAAGACACAGTAGATAATAAAAGTAAGCTATTCTTTATGTAAATAAGAGCTTTTTGAACAAAATGCAATAAAAACTATAAATATATATCATTTCTACAGAGATGAAGTTAGTTCACAGAGAGCTGTGGACAGGATGCAAGCAAAAATTTGGGAGCCAGTGCTAAGACCCTGGTGCCCCAACTTTAAATCCTCTTTGCACTCCAGCAGTGCTACTTTAACATGATGTGAGAAGCACGCTAGAATAACGAACTACCAGCTAATATTAAGAGTCTGAATAACCTTTCAGGAAGAAAATTAGGCAGATGAATAAAAGGAGAACACAGAATAAACAATCAGAATTTCTTGGCCCTGAAGCATCTGCACAAATAGAGGCTCCTGAATATCTTGTCTAGTGTCAGATAGAGGGAGAAGATAACCTGGTTTCATAAATATTTTATAATTGTAGTCAAAGTTATTTTGTCTACTTATGTATATCCTTGACACTTAAAAGTCAGGACTTTTCCCTCTTATTGAAGCTCTTTGAGAAAACATATAGGATTTGAACAAAGTATATGTATTTAGTGAACTATATCATAATAGTTTTCTCAATTGTGTACTATCATTTGTGTGATTTATGAACCTCCTTAATTTTGTTTCCACAGAATGCTGAAATTTCTGTTTTTGAAGTAAATATACGCTTTGTTGGTGGACTACTCTCAGCTTACTATTTGTCTGGAGAAGAGGTAAGATGAGAATGCTATATTAATGTGAATTCTTAAGTATCTTAATGATATCTTTAGGATAAAATACCCTTTTGTAGTATATATTTAGGGGTATCAATTAAATATTCATATTTTTATGGGTCTCTTGCATACACAGAATTTTATGTACTATGTGCTTATTAAATGAACACACTGGGAAGGTTTGGCAGAACATGACAGTAAAATGTTAAGTCATGCCTTTAGAAAGTCTAGCTCCATTATGTATGGTGTGATTATAGCTGCAAATTACATATGCCTATAAATAAATTAAAGCATTTTGGTAAAGTGCAGGTTTATGGATGCACTTTAAAAATTATTTTAATGTTATTCTAATACTAGCTTAATAAAAACTTTTTAAGATGAGAAAGCTTGGCAAATAAGATGTAAAAATTACATATTTTAAAATTGAGGTTGAGTGTGTTACTCATCTTTCCAGTGAGTTCTGTAGGCCAATATCCCTGCACAAAGTGCTTTGGATCTCATCCTGGGACTAGGCTTAATTAGTTATTTGCTGCTTAGAGCAAAGCAGGAATTTTTAATTTAGCTGCTTTTCACTGAGAGATTAAGAAAGGATTTTTAGTATCATGCTCATAAACAGCACAGATGTTATTTTCTTGAAAGGTTTTGGATAGTTTCATGAATAACCTAAGTCTCCTCTAAGAGTTGTTGGAATAGACATTAACTTTAACATTGATGGTATTAAAAGTTAACGTTAAGATAAAGCAGTCGCAAAAAATTGCCTATTAGTTGGATTTGTGCTAATGTCAGCATTCTGGCTGGGGAAGAGTAGATCTTACCTAGTGTAGGTATTTCATGTATTCTATGCTCCTTCAAACAGATTTAAGCAGATCAATGAATCTTTAATAAGAAAAGCTGCTTTACTTTGTTCCTGCCTCTCAGGTACTTTCCTCGCCAAAATGTAACAGCCCACAGAATCATAACATTCTCTTTAGACTTTATTTGCCATAGAGCTTTTCAAACTATATAGATGTCTTCTGTTTGTTAAACTCTCATTTTCACCTTGTACTTTATTCCTGTCACCTTCTTAGCCAGGGTAATGAGATTTTCTGGTATGTTATAATTATTCTATCCTGTTTGTCAGTCTCAAATAATTTTATTTATTTAGTTTGGTTTAGGGTATTCTGTGTATTAAACCAGGGAATCCATATTTTAAAAGTCATGCTTAATATAAACTAATGTTATTTTAATTAACAAGTTCCTGTTTTTAGAATACTTGCTTTGGAGTATCCAATGTCTAGGTCCTCTCATTGTTTTTGACATTGTATACTTAGGATGACCTTGGTTTTAACTTTCTTTATCATTTATATGAAAGTAAACAATGTGGAGGAAGTGAGTACTGCATCCTTCTACATCTGGGCTCAAATAAGATAATCAAACATGCAAAGAGAAGCATACATATATCCTCTGAATATGTATCATGTTTAATTAGGATACTTTTTCACTCATAACAATGTTTTAGGTTGATACATATATTTCTGTATGTGTGTATACTTTTTATAGATACCTATTTGTGTGGTGTACCTAATTCCCACAGAAATTAGTTTGTCTATAGATAAAATAATTTGCCTGGGACCTTGTAAACATATTTTTTGGGTGGATTCTATACTTAGCTAACTTTAGCAAAGGACTACAAAAACAATGCCATTAAAAATATTATTATTGTAATATTTTTGGCTTATTCTTGTGCAAAACAATGTTTTATTATATCTAAATTGTCTACATTTTGTGATAAAACATTTCTTAAGGTATTTGCTCTCATGTACTTTGCAATGTTTCTACAGAAACGATTTTTAGTTTTTAAGGATGAATTTTCTCAGCATTGTTTTTGCTTAACCATTCTCGAAATGCTGGACAGTTGGGTTGCTTCCAGTATTCCTGGGTTTATAATAATTGCTATAATGTAGCTATAGTCAGTCAATAAATCTGTTTTCTAAAGTGGGATTGACAGGTGAGAACTAATTAGTACTAGACTATTTTAACATCATCTCCTATTGCTTCTCCCAGTTACTTCATCACTAACTATTTGACTGTTTGACCAATGCATTCAGGGAAATTGCTATCAGGAATATGATCAAGAAAAATGATTTTACTCCAAGTCTGTGCTTGAGCTATTTGTCTCATATCAAAATGAAAAATTGAACATTCCTCTAATAGAAAGAACATCAACATGGCCATAGTATGAATAAGTTGGTTTCAGACTGTTGACAAATTCCATACTACACAGTTTTATGTAGATCAAGGTATTTACTATCAAGTCTAGGAAAATTCATCTTCCTAAATTATCTCTTTAAAAGGCTACTAAATCACTTTAATTTAACATTCTGATTTCATCACTGAGGCTCAGGAGGTTTTTTTTTGAGAACATCTTATAAATCACCATCAGAAGTATATAAGCCCAAATTGATATAAGCTCAAGATTCTTAAATTTGCCTAGTAAAAACAGGAGAGGAGGTACCACTGATTTGTGTTACATGGTTTGGGAACATGAAAACTAGAAACACTGAGCAATAATCAAGATTGCTGATGGAACTCTTAAACTATCAAAAGAACAATGGAAACATGAAATATTTGTTGATTATACTTGGATTACAGTGACATATCCAAAAACTTAAAATGCCCTGAGTTAATGTATTTTGTAGCACCTTAAAAAAATAGTCAAGCTACAAGATTTTCAAAGCCTCTGTGAGAAATGCAAACAACCACAAGAATTACAAGCAGATAGGATAGAGAGAAGATGAATACTAAATAGGAATGATCAGTATTAAAAATATATAAAAGAGATAGCATTGCTCAATTATAAGCTCTTGGGAAACTAAAGTCTTCATTAGAGACAGTCAATAGCAGCATCTAGCATATCATTACCCTAAATATGTTCTATAGACCACTAGTTTATTTAGATATGGTGAGATAAATCTGTGTTTGCAGACACACTAAAAATAAGTTCAGAAAAGCTACATTCTGTATTCTTTCTTAGAAATTCACAATGTTCACAATGCATAGAAAAAGAAACTAATTTTATTTATCCCTGTGTTTTCTTTGCTTAACTATATAATTATCTATAGCTCCTTCTCTTTTTCTTTTAATATAACATCTGCTAATGCTGAGTTACAAGCATTGTTTCCCAGAAAAATTTTTGAAAAAGACCACTGTGGAATAAGACTCAGCAAAGCAAAAACGAAAATTGACAAATGCAAAATGAGATGATACATGTAGAAAATAAATTATAAATAATCCACATATTATTATTTGCTTTGCAATAGAAACCAGTGGCTACATGGAACAGGAACTGAATTTGATAAGGCCAAGTCATGCCACTGAATCAGAGAAAAAGCTAAAGAACATGTTAGAACTATCTCAAGTTGCACTAGAGGATATCAATGACTGGACGATTACTCTGTGACACCCTAAAATTAACATATATGCACTATTTTTTCTACCCTTGCCAAAATGCAAAATTCCAGCAGGAAGAGGTCAATTGGTAGTTTCAGTTATGGTAGCCCTTTGGATATCGTGGGAAATGAAAGAGAGGATATGATAAACGTCTTCAACAAGGTTTGAGTTCAGTATCCCTTGAAGATCAAATGAAAGGAAGTATTGATAGGGCCTCCCTGGTGGTGCAGCGATTGAGTGCTGGGCTGCGAAGCTGCCCGCAGCCTCTGCAGCACCGGTTCGATCCCCGCCACTGCGAGGGTCCCACATGGCACACAGACCTTTCCTGCTGTGCCTGCTGCTCCCCTCAGCAGTGTACTTCGTCAGTCTGCCTGTTCTGCTCCTCGCTGTGGCTCTGGTGAATTCTCTCACCCTCCCGCACTTCTGACTATACCCAGTGCTTGTATAAATAAATAAATAAATCTTAAAAAAAAAAAAAATTAAAAAAAAAGAAAGGAAGTATTGATAATTCTTGAACAGAAAATTAATGCCTTATTGGATGGGAAGGGAGAATAGATGTTTGTGAGTAAAATAAAATACAAAGCATATGAAAGCTAATTTTTTTAAAAAATTATATTTATTTATTTATACAATACTGGGTACAGTCAAGAAGCGCGGGAGGGTGAGAGAATTCACCAGAGCCAGAGCAGGGAACAGAACAGGCAGAGGGATGAAATACACTGCTGACGGGAGCAGCAGGAGCGGCAGGAGAGGTCTGCGCGCCATGTGGGACCCTCGCAGGCGGCCAGGGATTGAACCAGCGCTGCAGTGGCTGCGGGCAGCTTCGCCATCCAGTGCTCAACTGCTGTGCCATCAGGGGAGGCCCCATATATGAAAGCTAATTTAGTGAAATACCAGAATTTTTTTTTCCTGATTTGAAGACTACTTTATTTTGTTTTAAGATTTGTTTATTTGTGCATACAAGAACTGGGGTGTAAGCCAGAGGGGGGGGGGGTGAGAGGATTCACCAGAAAGAGTGGGTAATAAAACAGGCAGATCCACTGAAATACACTGCTGAGGGGAGCAGCGTGCAAGGCAGGAGAGTTCTGCTGCACCCTGTGGGTTGCTCCCTGGCAGGCTAGGGATCAAAGTGGTGCTGTAGTGGCTGGCAGTAGCCTGATAGTGTGTCTTTAACCCTTGTGCCACCAGGGAGGCCTGAAGAATTACTTTAGCATGTAAATTGAGAGTATTAAAACTACCAAGAAATTAAATCCTCAAAGAAAACATAGTGAACTCGAAAAAATTAAAAAGCCAACTCATGGAAATTAAAAAGATTGAAGAACTTTCAATGACAAAAAGTAAGAACATATGATCCAAGACAAGGAAACACATATAATGGAGTCTCATATTAGTTTACTCTGCCAAGACAGCCTTCGTTTTGAAGATTGCAAAAGAGCTGCCCCACAATTCACCTTGAGAAAGCTCCTGTTTCTCAAGAGAAAAGTAGCAAATACTTCTGAGTTAAAGAATATCGTGGGGTAGGCCTCCCTGGTGGCACAGCAGTTGAGCGCTGGGTTGCGAAGCTACCCGCA